GATAACAGATCAGACACAGACACACACGTCTGAGAAAATCAACTGCTTTTAGGGGGGGGTTTTCGCTAAGAGAATTATAATAAAAAAAAATTTTAAACCCAGGATACGAGTAAATAAAACGATTGTGGGGATGCTGCTGTGCGCTACTGAGCTGCCGCGTTTCGCCCACATAATAATAATAATAATAAAAATTATTTTAAAAAGTGTATAATCCTTACACTGTGATATAGTACCTTATCACGTCGTTGAGACGCCTCAAAGCGCTTCACAGGACATATTGTAAAATGGTTTGATTGTGTATTTTGTGGACGCACACAAAGCACGCTCTGTGCTCCCTCCCCAAGCCCAACAACCTCTCTCGGGGATTTCCATGTGTAAGCGGGAGGCCTGGAATTCTCAGCTTGGTTTGGAGACTCTTAGGTCACGGCGATGGGTTTCCGTATGTGTCAGACACCCGCCCGGCTGACCAAAAAACACACAGGAGACAAATGTAAAACGGTAAAGATAGACTGCACGAGAACCTTTCAATGGCGTGATGTGGAGAGGCGGGCTGACTGGGTCATTCTTATAATCTTACTTCCAACGCTAATTTTAGCATTAAACTTTAGCGCCAAACAGAACATACCAGTCCAGCAAATTTGGAAAGTATTAAAACTAGTTTACAAATTCCGCCAATGGTTTCACACAGCAATAAATGTTTTATAGCGAAGTAAATGCAACAATTTAACTCAATTATCCTGGGACGCATCCAGTTAACTTCAGAAATATTGGAAAATCAGAGTGGCTGTTTGTACTCGTATCAAGCTCAGATCAGACCTAGATCTTTGCCTCCAGAATAAATGTGAGGTCAATGGAAATTCTGGAGGAGGGAAGGACTGATGTGATGCGATGTGCTAATTATTATAACCGCATTTCCATTGCCCGAATTTTAACATCTTTCAAATGAATTACTTGCACATTGTTACACGGTGCAAACTCAAAACATCTCATCCGAAGGACAGCACCTCTGACAATGCCCCAGCGATGGCGTAGGCCTTCCTTTGAACTGAGTCGGGTACAGATATCGCCCAGAACACACCGGACGTGAGTGCAAGGGGTAGCCGTTTGATTTCAGGATATAATTTCTCTGCTAAAAGCAATGACAAGAGTATGTTAATGACAGGAGAATCCACAATAACACCACGTGCAACTGACTGTTTCAGAATGGATTATATGATCTGCCTTTTCAGGTGGAGGTTAACTACTAATAATAATAATCCTTGAATTTGATAGACGTCTCAAAGCGCTTCACAGAATATACTGTAAAGTGAATTGACTGTATATTTGTGGGTGAAACGTAGCAGCCAATTGCACAGCAGTGTCCCACATACTCGTGGATCGAAGTGACCAATTTTATTATTATTTTTTTTCTTGAGGGATTATTATTAGGCGTGTGGAGTGAGGAAACTTGCCCAAGGTTTCGCCCTGATCTGCCGGGAATTGAGCCCAGGTGTCTCGCTTGTAAGTCGAGCGCTCTAACCACTGAGCTACAGGACTCCAGATCCCACGGCACGATTCAAAAAGTGAAGGGAGTTTCCCTCTCCCGAAACGTATTAAAGAGCTTCACAGGATTTTACTGTAGAGCTCGTGGACTGTATTTGTAGGTGTACAATTTTCCCACAAAGAGTAATGGAGTGAATGACCAATTTTATCCAGAGAAACTAATGTCCAGGAGACAAGGGAAAACTTCTGTTCCCTTTTCGAGTCGCCCTACGGGATGTCTAACGTCCACCCGAACAGGCAGACCAGACCTTGGTTTAACATCTCATCCGAAGGACAGCACCTCTGACAATGCCCCAGCGATGGTGGAGGCTGTGAGCTCAAAGTCCTTCTGCGTAAGCGTTGATGTATTTCGTGCTTTCAGTCTCTGCTCAGTAATCCATCTCACTGATGAGGAAACAATTCTGGGTATTATTTCACATATATTATTTGATTTCGTCAAACGTTTGTGGCTTGGGGCAGTGAGGGTGGGTATCACAGAGGTCTCCTCAATCAGGGAGGGGTCTACAGCAACAAACAGAACTGAAAAACTGGCAACTAGGGTGGGGTGAGCAACAAATTATGAAAATATTTTGCCTGCTCATTCAAAGTGCGCAAAGCAGCACAATATTAATAATAATCCTTACGTTTGATACAGCGCCTTATCACTTCGTCGATATGTCTCAAAGCCCTTCACAGAATATACCGTAAAGTGAAACGACTGTGTATTTTGTGGGCGAAACATAACGTTTGCAATGTTTAAACACCGGCTCTCTACACTCAAACCTAATTTACACAGAGTAAAGGTATATAGGTAACCTCAAGCCTCAGCCTCCATGACAGAGGGAGTAATGTGGCCACAGCTGAAAGAGGAGTATCGCACAATCAACCTGTTAAAAGGAACCGTGGCATGCAGCCACCCACCAACCTAACCTCTCTCTCCTCAAAGAAATACACCAAAGAATGAATCAGAATTGAAACCATTTGCCTCAATCTTTGCACAATCGTGTCTGTAACGGTTTCAGCCAGTCCCGACGAGAAGACTTTTTAAATCGACAAACTATTAAAGGGTTCATTAGCTTGGGAGACGGCTGAGGCTTTAACGGGGGCTGGTGGTGGGGGTTTGGGTGGGGGGAGGGTGGGAATAATAGAACTTCCACTTTTGTTGCCAGACACGTGAACATACTCCCACAAATATACAGTCACTACACTTCACGGTGTATTCTGTGAAGCGCTTTGAGACGTCTACATAGACGTGATAAAGCGCTGTGTCAACTGCAAGGATTTTTTATTATTATGATGAGCCTTATAATAATAATATTTTTTGCATTTGGTATATAGAGAGCACCTTATCACGTCTCAGAAGGCTTCACAGAATATACTGGCGCACAGCAGCCAATTGCGCACAGGAGTAAAATAAATAATAATACCTTGTAATACATTTAATACCTTGCAATAAAGTTCAATTTTTTTTTGAGTGAGTTGGTGGGTGGGTTGGATGGGTAAGTGAGTTGGTGGGTGGGTTGGATGGGTGAGTGAGTTGGTGGGTGGGTTGGATGGGTGGGTGAGTGAGTGAGTGGGTGGGTGGGGGAGAGCTCTCCTTTTTGTCAGCCAGGTGTCTGACACATACGCAAACCCATCACCGCGCTTAAGAGTGTAAAAACTACTTTGTTCCAAATATGTTTGCCACCTACACAAGGAAATTTTCCTGTGTCCATAATGCAACGTGTTCTCTCTCTCTCTCTCCCCCTCTCCCTGGAGGGACGTCCCCTGATTACCTAATTCCAGAGAGTATTAGGCGCAGGTTGACAAGAGTCAAAGCTTGGAGGGAGCCCAGAGTTTGCGTTGGGGGTAACTGCTGGAATGTAAGCAGCTTGAACCACATGGCTTGCCATTGAGAGGATTATTGAGTAAGCTTTCTGCTCCTTATCTAGGACCATCCGACAAGTATGGATTGCAGGGTTAACAGGAGCTGAGTGGGAAGAATCCTTGGTCCCAGTGACTTTTGTGCGGTGAGAGAGGAAGAGAAAATCAAAGGGTGAAATAGTCTTGGGCATCTCTGAATGGTTAGTGAACACAGGCTTCAGGAAACAGTTTCAGTTGCAATGCATGGGTCTAGGGGCAGGATGATGATGATGATAATAATAATAATAATAATAATAATAATAATAATAATAATAATAACCCTTGCATTTGATACAGCGCCTTATCACGTCTTCCAGAGTCTCAAAGGACTTCACAGAAAACACTGTAAAGTGAATTGACTGTATATTTTTTGTGGGTGAAACTATTTTATTTAGAGGGGAAATCCACTGAAATATAAATTATAAAATCAGTTTTCCTGTAAAAATACCTACGTGTCTCTTAATTAGTTTGAAAGGAAATCATAGTCACACTCATGGTTTTACAGGGAAAGTATCAATTGATGCAAAACCCCCACAGAATATTCCGTTGCCAAGCACGCCAGATTTTAAGGTTTATATATTGTATTTTTATATTCATAGTTAAAAATGTCTTTCCATATTTTAAGTTACAGTTCTTCTGCAGCTACCGAGGTGGGTGGTCTAAGTAGAAATAATAATAATGATAATCCTTGCATTTGATACAGCGCCTCATCACGTCTTCGAGACGTCTCAAAGCGCTTCACAGGATATACTGTAAAGTGGGGGGACTGTGTATTTTGTGGGCGAAACGTGGCAGCCAATTGTGCACAGCAATTGGTCTGAAAGGCAACCAGAATCACGTTGTGTGTGTGTGAGCCCACTGTGCTGATGTTCCTCTGAAAAAAAGATTAAATTCCAGCAAAGTCCAGCTCTTTCCATGGGTTAAGTCTGTAAACTCCACATAATCCGTCCAAACCGGCCACAGGAATCTGACATGTGAATTTACGCTCTCTCCGTCTTAATGCAAATGACGTGTCCCATCTATACTCGTGTTTGCTGTGTGCAAGCACGGCTTTTCTAACCCCAAGGCTTGTGGAATTTCCTACTCCTCCTCTGTAAGTCAGATAGCACCAGTTTTAATAAAACCACTGGGATTAATCATCGTGCAAAAATGGTGACTAATCACCCAGAGCTTTGAAAATATACTTCTCTCAGTCTTCCCTTCCTCCTACAACCTTTAAATGGTGAAACCTAACCGCTAGTTTTGCATTTATGTTGCATGACTTCTTTTCCCCCGAGCCTGGGCCCTTCAAGGTGGGTTTCCTGATATAATAATACTAATCCTCACATTTGATACAGCGCCTCATCACGTCTTCGAGAAGTCTCAAAAGCGCTTCACAGGATGTACTGTAAAGTGAACTGATGCGTATTTTGTGGGAAAAACGCGACAGCAGCGTCCCCACAAACATGGATTGAGTGACCACATTTTTTTTAAGGGATTATTATTCCCAGTGATTCACTAATCAACTAACAATCGGGTTCTTACTTACTGCTAGTAAGCAGAGGCATGTGTCTGGAGTAAGAAAACTTACCTAAGGTTTCCCCTGCCGGGAATCAAACCCAGGAACTCTCGCATGGGAGGCGAGTGCTCTAACCACTGAGCTACAGGACTTCATGTAAGGGACTATTGAAGTAAAAATGCTCTGTGACACGTAAGCACGTGCAACAACTAAAAGCATCTGAACTGTGGCTGCTCTTCAAGGCTTTCTCTCTGACTGTATCAGTAGGTGTGCAGGAACACACACGAGCTCTCCTTTCCTTAAGGTTTTCAAATGCTGATTTTTTTTTTCAGCTTTTACAGTTTCGTTTTAAATCCCTCTTCAGTACCTGAGAAGAGCGTGACCTTTTCTGGGGTTTGCAATGAATGGGCCGGTGTGTGTGTGTGTGAGTGAGAGTGTGAGTGGGCGTGAGTGTGGGTATGTGTGCAGCTGTGGGGTGTGTGTGAGTATGTGGGTGGTTGTGGGTGTGCGTGTGTTTAAAACACAGACGAGAGTTTGTCATGTATTATACACTACAGAAGGCGGAGAGGGAAAAAGAGGAAATAAAAAGTATTCAAAGGAGCGATTTCAGGTCAAATCTCATGCACCTCATGTTGTGAAATAATATTTTTATAGGCAAAATTATTTGTCGGGCTGAGTTTTCCTAATGTATCGCGCACAATGCTCTCCCTTTATAAACGTGCCCCTCAGAAAATTAATCAGAGCTGTTCTTCAAACATTCATGTTCTCGAATTAACAGCAACACTTTGCAGACAACGAAACAAATATCACTCTCCGAATGAATGATGGGGAAGGTTAACACAACAAATTTAGAGCACTCGCCTTGCAAGCGAGAGGACCCGGGTTCAATTCCTGGGCGGGACAGGACAGTGCGAAACCTTATGCAAGTTTCCTTACTCCCCACACACACACACACACACACACACGCGCACCTCTGTTTACCAGCAGTAAGTAGGAACACGTTTGTTAGTCGATTGGCGGATTGCTTTCTGGGAGATTATAATCCCTTGAAAGAAATAATAATAATCGCAATAATTTGGTCACTCAATCCACGATTGTTTGTGGACGTCGCTGTGCGCAATTGGCTGCAGCGTTTCAACCCGGCCCCATGTTTCCAAGAAACAAGTGGACCACAGAATGGTACAGTCACACAGAGTCTGAGGAGAAGCTGGTGCTGTTTATTAAAACATTTCTAGACTTCCACCGTTTCGGTGAATGGAGCTGTGTGCTCTCAACCCGCCCAGAACTTTTACATAAACATGTTGATGATGGCTGTTAATCAGGTGGGGGGATGTGGGGGAGGGTTTGGGTTGGAGGGAGGGGACTGGTGGGGGTGGGGGTGGGGGGTGTCTCGTGTTAAAAAAAAACAAAAAGGGGGAGAAAAATTCCTGAAAAACACACACGTCTTCAGGATTGATTTTTTTCAAAATTCCTGAAACGGGGAATTGTGGTCTTGCTAAGTAAACACTGTGACTTGATGCTTTGGCGCCAATCTTTGCAATTAGAATTTCTAATATTTTTTTAATAAAGGAAATTGACATTTTTGTGGAACAGCAGTCATCCCACTCAGCCCCTGCTAACCCTGCAAGCCAAAGCCCTCACTGAGGGGCAACATGGCCCTCCCTGGACAAGCAGCGGGAAAGCTTGCCAGACAGCGATAGCTCTTGAAAAACAGCCATGGAAACAAGCGACCGATTTTACTTGGGGAGTAATTCATACAAAATACATTTGAAAAAAAAATTGGACTTAACTTTTGTTGTGAATATGATGAATAATCTGGATCTGTGTGTGTGCGTGCGTGTGAGTGTGTGTATGACTCAATGGGTCGATATGAAATTCACCAATATTTGACTATTGCTCTTTTTTAAGAGATTCTTACGCCTACTTTGCTTCACCAAAACCACCTGTGGTGACTGAGACAATGTACTCACTGATGTTCAGTGGGGAATCAGTGGAAAAGATTGTTCAAAGACCAGCAATATTCCTGCAAATGTTGCAAATGCTCCCGATAGAATGTGTTCCCTCTCCTGCTGTTTCACGATTATGGTGACCACCTATTTGTGTTTAAAACAAGGTTTAATGAAGACTTATGTCCATCGTGTCTGTGCCGGCCTTTCCCCCACAACTCTGCAGATGACTCCTCTGTAGGTTTTTAATCTTGTTTTCCCTTTTGTAAGCCTGTATGGCTTCTGCTTCAAGCAATGATAGTAATAATAATAATAATCCTTGCATTTGATATAGCGCCTAATCAAGTTGTCAAGAGATCTCAAAGCATCCTCAACCAATGCTCCCAGTAGGGTATTCCATGTCCTATGTGTGAAAGAAATGCTCCTTAAAAAAAACCCTCCCCATTTGCACGTTTGCTAACTATCTCAAATTGATATTCTCTGGTCAAGGACTCAGTGGTGGTTAGTTTGATGCCCCATTAAACGTTACTCCAGATACCACACACCAATGACAATGGAAACAAAGATTTTCCTAGTATCGGATTTGCTTGCTACTCGATCATTATGAATTAGATTATTGTGGTCACTGCCCATTATTAACAAGTGTGAATTTTTGAAGCTAGGAAACTCTGTGACGAATGGTTTCACCTTGTGATTGTGAGGAAGCTCAAGTGGTGCCTCTGACAACCATCGCCTCGGGCCTTGCTCAAGCTCAGATACAGCAGGAGAATCTGATTGACTGATTTTAGTGGTTTCAGATCTATTGGGCTCTCGAGAAATTCACACTAATGCTGACAACGGGGGATTGAATTTCACGGGACATTGTTCAATATTGCCTGATGATTTGGGTGTACATTTGGTTATAATAATAATGATGATCTTTGCATTTGATCACGTCTTCGAGACATCTCAAAGCACTTCACATGGTATACCGTTAAGTGAATTGACTGTATATTTTCTGGGCAAAACATTTTTTGGGGGTTGGGTGAAACATGGTGGGAAAAGAGAAACGTCGTCAGTGGATAGTGACTAACAAAAGTTGTCTTAAAGGTTATTGTTGTTACCAGAGAGTCACTGGAACCCTGTGTTGGAGCCCACTTTGTGATACAAGGAGGTCACGTGTATTGTCCTTCATGACGTGTTTCTTGTGATGATTATCCCAAATGCTGTGATGAGTTATTCGTACCACTGCGGGTTTGATTCAGAACTTCCACTCAGGAAGAATCACATGCACACACACACATATATATATAACACACATACACTGGGCTAGAAAATAAAGCTTTTCTGCTTTACTGAACACCCAGCTCAGATCCACATAGCTGCCCTGACTCTCCCATTTGACCACACTAGGCTTAACATAGTCTGTGGGGAATTTCCACTGTTTGGTAACCAACACAAACATGTGGGCATCACATGAACTAGGAACGTGTCTGAGTCACGAACATCTACCCTCAGCGAATGTTTCACCTGTGCGCAAATTGGCTGCCGCGTTTCGCCCACAAAATACACAATCCGTTTTACAATACATTCTGTGAAGCGCTTTGAGATGTCTCAAAGACGTGATAAGGAGCTGTGTCAAATGCCAGGATTATTATTATTATTATTATTATGGCCTAGACTTGCAAATCTCGGAGTTATACCGGAATTCTTTGGGATTATTGTGCTCCAGGGAATTAATTCTTACAGTGTTCTTCAAATGGGGTGGGGTCTCGAAACAAGCACACACAACGTCTCTCTCCGTCATTTTTTTAGTTCCTAACAGCTCTTTTTTAAATCCCATTTCCCACATCCCTTAACACAGTTATTTCCAAATACATATCCAGCCTCATCTCACACACTTCATCATATTCTGTCTATGGCTTCCCGAGGCACCTCCGACTATACAACACACGCAATACTAACGTTTCAGTGCGAGTCCCAGCCAAGCCTCTGTTTGTCCCTTTCCCAATGAGTGAGACTTCATATCAGTTGTAGAAATTGGCAATTCGTGGCCTCCCGCTACACAAATCTCTTAGTCACTTCAACTATTCTAAAGGGAAAGAGGGTGTAAAATGCCACAGGTCTATTTTAACAAACCAAAGGTACCAATTCTTCAAAAGATCTTTAACTGATCTCTATCCTCTGCACCACATAAAAGCACACGCTGACTGTGTTCGAGATCCACTCCCATCCATTTAAAAAAAACTACAGTTATTCTGTAAATCGTGGCTGACATTCACACTCAGTTAATTACTCACCTGAGCTGAGCCATTTGGGCACAAATGATGTGAACCAAACAGCGGCCTCTAACTTATGATATTTCTTAATGGAATTCTTCTTGAAAATTCTTGAAAGGACCGGCTAACACTGGTGATCGTTCCTTTACATACTTATAATAATAATAATAATCCTGGCATTTGACACAGCGCCTTATCACGTCATTGAGATGTCTCGAAGCGCTTCACAGAATGTATTGTAAAATGGAGTGTGTATTTTGTGGGCAAAACGCGGCAGCCAATTGCACACAGCAATGTCCCACAAACAGTTGTGGATTGAAGTGACCAAATTACTCTGATTAATTTTATATATAAGGGGATTGAAGGTAAAGTTTGCTGCAGTCTTAACGGAATTAGTATTATTAATTCCTTAAGATGGAATCCGAGTTGGATTTCGGAGTGTCTTTTCCGACCCGGATGCAGGTCACACCAAATTGTGGGAATGAATCTCTGGGACACAGTCTATTTACGGATCGGGCTTCCCACTCCCGGCCAAGGAATCCTGTGAGGAAATATTGCAAATTAAATTCCCAAATCACAAAATCTGGACATCGCTCTGCGCAACTATGTTGCCGCGTCCAACCTACAAAATACATAGTCACTACACTTCACAGCGAGCCCAGTGAAGCGCTTTGAGTGAGATATCCTAACAACGTGAAAGGCTCTCGCTCTATCAAACCCGAGAATTATTTGGATGAAATGTGTGTAATTATTTTACACTGAAATGGCTTCTCTTTTAAAAGAAACGTTCCTTTGATCTCATCAGAATTCAGGTCTGTGTTTAACCCATTGCGGCTTTTGAGGCGAAAGCATTTACGTCTGAGTTTGGTTTTTTTTAACATGAGGTGACGTCTCTCAAAGTCGTCGAAAAAGTACTTGGAATTCAACCAGAGTGACAGGAAATACA